TTCTGTGTCCCTCCTCCGCCTACTGCCCCACCAAATTGGTGGAGGTGTTCGGGCATTTCTTGCTCTCAACCAACATGCACAGAGCTCCACCCCGTGCATGGCACTGAGAACCAAGCAGGACGGAACAAAAGCAGGTTCCCGGCCTCCTCTGAGCACGAGGAGACTGCCAGTCACTGAGCACGTATGCATCGATATGTCAGGCGTAACAAGTGCCAAACGGACCACGAGACAGGACAAGGGGTCAGAGATATGTAAGTTGAGCTGGGGCGCGGGGGGTGGGGGGCTCTGATAAATAAGGTGGCAAGAAGAGGTGTCTCTGAGGTCACATTTGAGCAGAACCTAAGGGAAGTGAAGGAGCAAGGCTGCGGATGGCGGGGGGGGTGTGGCCATCTGGGCAGAAGCGACAACCAAGCTAGACCCCAAGGAGAGTGTGCCTGGCGGGCGTGAGAAACCGGAAGGCCAGTGAGTGGGCAAAGGAAAGACAAGAAGAAAGTAATCAGGGGGTGGAGATGGCAGGGGAGCCACGTGGTCTGGGACTTCTGAAAGATTCTGGTTCACATGGAGTTGTGAGCTCTCTCCCAAAAACTGTGGCAGATATTCCTGGAAGCTGGACAAAAGCACAGATTCCTTTCCTCTGGAATCTTTCCTTGTTATCCTGGGCCATGCAAACAATATGGTCACTTCCTCCTCCTCCTCCTCCTTCTCTCCTCTTCCTCCTCCTCCCTCCCCCACCAAGCTGCCTCCTGACTTGTCCCAGGCTGGCTTGCTGCATGCAGCATGAGGCAGTGGCCCTCCCTGGCTGCAGCAGAGGACAAGGCCAACAAGGGGACGAGGGGACAGGAGGAAAGACCCGGGAGAGGCAGCGGCAGCACGAGGGACGACGTCACGGGCTCTGCCCGCATTCATTTCAGTCCCCGGGTGTCTCCATCAATACCGTCTGCCAGTGACCAGAGGGAGGAGGAGGGGAGGGAGGAGGGGTGATCTGGGGTCTGGACAAGGGAGGGATGAGATGGAGTGGAGAGAGGCTCTTTGGCAGCTCTCCCCAAGCCTGGGGCAGGGCTGGAGGTGGGGAGGGCAAGTTTCATCTCCAGTCTTCTCTCCCTGCTTTCCTTCTTCCATCTCCCTGTGCCCCCTCACAAATACGTCCCTTTCCGCCTCCTCTCTGAGCCAGGAGGAAGGTAGGCAGGACAAATTCTACACTGGAAGAGGAGGAAGGGGTTTGAATTGGGCACAAGCTGCATGGTGGAAGAGTTGGAACTGGCAGTGAACACCAGGAGCACTCTGTGCCCAGCAACAAGAACAAACTGTGACAAGGGCTGGTGCAGCTCCAGACTGGCACCACCAGCCTGCAGGCCTCATGAGAAGGTGGCTGGGACACAGGGCTGGCACAGAGCCGGGTACAGAGAAGCGCACTCAGGAATAAATGGCCCTGAGATCTCCCCAGTGGCTGGCTATGCGGTGGGCTGGGATGGACTAAACCAGTCAAGGAGGGCTGCTGGAGTAGGTAGAACTTGAGCAGATTCCTGCAAGGTGGACTGGGCAGGAGAAGTGGGAATGGGAGACAAGGCAATACCAGATGAGCAGGCCGGTGAGAATAAAAATGAGAGTTGGAGGGGAGCACAGGTGATGGGAACCTCGGATAAGATAACAGGAGAAAGAGAGGAACAGGGGAGGATGGCCACCCTTCTCGTGGCAACTGTTCCCAGGGGACTCAAGCTGCTTTGGCCATAGTGGGCTTTTCCACTTTCCCTATGGTTTTAAGCCTGGCAGGCCTCACGAGCTACCCTCAGCCACATGTGCAGGCAGAGGAAGAGGCCCTGCACTGCCAGCTTGAAGGAACGCGCATAGAGAGACTCCCCATCCA